TATATATATATATATATATATATATATATATATATATATATATATATATATATATATATATATATATAACTAGATCAAAACTTCTATAGAACAAGATGTGACATGGATATTTTATTGTAACAAATGATTTAGTCTGACAAGTAAATAGTAATGGTGAAGTTTATTTAGGTCTTAGGGAGTATTGGTTATCAAGAAATTTATCTATTTTGTAATGGGTAATTTACCTAAATAGGACTAAAACATAATGACTTTCTCAATATAGGACCATATGTTTTTATTTCCCAATGTAGGACCATTGGTCATTATTCATTAGTCATTATTCGAGTAAATGTCCATCATCACTGGACATTATTTCTCCCACTAGACATTATTAAGTACTATTTAGAGAATAAAAAAGTTTAAGTCCTACATTGGGAAATGACTTATGTTTTAGTCTTATTTAGTGCAAATTTCACTTTTGTATTTTCAACTATTGTTTCATTGCCATTGCACTTAATTAGTTGAATCCTTTATCTCAAGAATTATTTTTCATCAAATCTTGTAAAGAAATTAATGTCATTTTAAGTCTATACTTTGGGAGAGAAAATAGAGTGTATACTTTGTTTTTATATCTATACATTGATATTCCATTATTTAATTGAAATCTAGGCGAAGAAAACATGGAAAGAGTGGACACTAAACAGGATTGTGCAGTTGACCGAGGAAGCTCAGTTAAGTAAACCAAAGCTTCAGAGGTGGTTGGATAACTTTGGAGAGCAGTATAGCAAGGTTGTGGTACTCCTGTCCATTTCTGTTGCTGTTATGGGACCTTTTCTTTTCAGGTGGCCACTCATTAGTTCCTCAGGTAATTCATATGACTTGTTAGGGAAATAATTTTTCTGACTTTTATAGTTCAGTCTGCTATCTCTCTCTGTTGCACTGGTTTGCTTAATGTCTTGTGGAGAAATGTGACCCATATTTGAAAGGAGAAGGAAATTATATTATGCTTACTAGGTGTGTATTTGAACTTTGTACATATCATTTCATTGCTGTCAATCTCTCTTCACCTGTTGATTGTATTGTGGTTGGCATAAGTGTGTTGTCAAGTACTTCATTGCTTACCCATTATGATACATACACGATTACACGTGCTGGACCTACCAGTGAAGGGGTAGCATGGGTGAAAGGGAAGGGCAGGCGGAAGAAAGAAAATAACCAAAGGAAAAATAGTCCAGGAT